TATATATATATATATATATATATATATATATATATATATATATATATATATATATATATATATATATATATATATATATATCGTAAATACAAACAGGCAGATTTTGACTTAGAGTTTTTGTTTACATGACACTTTTTTTATGTCTTTATATTTTAACCGTGTCATTTCATTCAAAAAAGTTGGCTGAATAAAAGTAACTTTAAGTTAGAATTTGCCAGGGCTATGGATGATTTCAGCCTTCATATAATATAATTCGGACTGTATATTTAAAAATAAACCAAACACAAAAAAAAAGAACCTCTTAACTTTTGTACATTTTCTCAGTGTGAATGTATCAATGCGTTTATCGTATATAAAATCATACATCTAGTCATTTAATCATTTTCGAACAGTATGACTATGTTGAAAACATGACTACAGGTATGTCAACAATGCCTAGAAAGGAAATTCCATCAGAAACAAATTTTTACAGTATAAAAAATCCATCAACATAAAATGTGGTGGACATTAAACTCATCCAATATTTCACACACATACACACACACACACACACACACACACACACACACACACACACACACACACACACACACACACACACAACAATAATAATAATAATTAGATTTACAATATATTACATAAAGACGTATGACAAAAATATACACAAAAGTTTTGGCAATAGAATTATCCATCCATAGGGTAAAATGTGATCTGTCAGTCAGTGAAGACGGAGCTAAAATGTTCCGTTTTTCAAGTCAGGACTTGAAGGCAAGGCACATTATGAAATCTTTAGCAACTTGTGGGTTATTTTTTTCGGCATTGGGCATTGTAAACAATGTCTTTCTGTACATCCACAGGTACGTCCGCTAGTCCAGTTTTCAGCGCTCTTCTCATGCGAGGTGATACATGCTGTACCCTAAAGGTGTCCCATAAAGCCCCACTGGAGCTACAGGCAATAAAGGCCTCTGGTAAGGGTACGACTGGCCATAGAGAGAGACCGCTGAATGAAGTTGTGTCCCAAGAGGAAGAGGCAGACTGAAATTGGGGTGCAGAGCAGGTTTGGCAGTCAACTTGAGCTTTTCCAGCTCTGCCTCTTGTAGACGTTTGGCTTTGGCCCGTCGGTTCTGGAACCAGATCTTGACCTGGGTCTCTGTGAGGGTGAGGGAGCTGGAGAACTCGGCTCTCTCTGCGATGGACAGGTACTGTTTCTGTCTGAACTTTCGCTCCAAGGCAAGGAGCTGTGAGGTTGTGAATGGTGTACGGGGTTTGCGATTGGTCTTGTGCTTGCGGAGAGGACAGGGACTTTCCTGGCCTGTAGGAAATATATATATTTTTAAAAAAAAAACTTAAAATGAGGTTTAAAAAAGATGAAATGCTTATTTTGTTTAAATATTTTGGAAAAAAAAAAAACGGGAAAGGGAAGCTCATGTTTTTTTTATTACTTTTGAGTTTAATTAAGTGTTTTTTATGCAACACAGCATAAACTATATTCAATGTTTTATATTGCATAATTTATCAATAATAATAATAAATAAAAAATAAACAAAAGGAATAAGAAAAAGGAGTGAATCTTCTGTTATAATTCTTGAACATAAGTTTTAAACATAATTAATTTCCTTTATATTTTACATTAGTTAAAAAAAGTAAGTA